GTGTGCTCTGGGGAGGGCGCGCCCAAGACCGACCTCATGGCCTTCAGCCCCAGCCTTCCACCTGGTCTGGATAAAGAAGTTGGAGAGGAAAGGCAGGAGGCAGGATCAAATTACCCTGGGCAGGTGAGTCCTACAGATTCCTCTTATTTTGAAGTCTGTGTTAAATTTTTAAAAATCCACTTGATTTCATAGAAAAACGTAATGAATATTCTGTATTTTGAGTATTAATGTTTTAAACGAGTATAAATGTTTTAGAGAACAATTTCTGTTAGTCAAATGCCAACTGATAAAAAATCCAATTTTAATCATGCGAGCAATCGTATATATATATATATATACATATATATATATATTTTTTTTTTGGCCAATAAATTCCCTACGTCTCCAAATGTTTTGGTAGAAAATGGTAAAGGAAGATGCAAAAATGACTCTCCTATCAGCACTTTATTAGATATAATTTATAATTTTCAGTGATGTACTTAGACCACTTATTTCATCTCTAAACCACACTACTGTAGATAATTCCTGTGGTTATTTCCATTTGTTCGTCCTCTTTGTCTTTTAACACTACCTTTTGCTTTAATATTTTCACATTATTAGATAGCTTGACTTTTCTCACTTCAGGCTTGTATCAAAGATTGAACACTCTCTTCGTTAAGTCTGAAAAGATTTACCTTTTTCTGTAGAGTTAAACATGGGTCATACATTTATTTTCCATTAAGTAACCTTTAGTTATGCCTCAACTGATAAGATAAAACCTATTTTCTTATTATTTGCAGTTAAAAATTCAGTCTTGCATGATTGGTGGTTTCATTGAAATAATAGAACTTAAAAGTTCTGTCGATTTATTTTATTGCATGTACTGGGTACAGATTTATCTACAACATAGTCAAATAGAACTCCCAGATTTATGCTTACAAAGTTTACTAGGCAAATAAAGTTATTCATATCACTCCACCATGTCTTCCAACTTGCTGAAGACATGCATCTAGAAGATGCATCTAGAAGACATGCGTTATAATATCTCCAATATATGCTGGTTGGCAGTCTGCCCTACATTTTGTGGATTCATCTAGAAAGGAAAATGTTAAGTGTATTAAAGTGAAATGTAAATTATCATTTTTGTTCATCTGGCAATTTAAATTTCTTGTCTTTAAAAGCTTTATCTCTGATGTTTGTGAGATTTTCTTTTCATGTGCTATAATCACTTCTGATGATTCTACCAAAGGTCATTTACCTTAGGTCATTCTTCTAATCAGTGATCCTTAGGTATATGTAGAGTGGCAGAGTAACTGATTTCTTTGAGAATTTGATAAAATTCATATGTGTATGCTCCGCTTTAGCTTTAGGGGCTAAAATTTCTTTATTCTGTAGTAGGCAACCAAATTAAAGCACAAAATGTTTCAGACTTGAAAGATTAAGCCATCATATCACTTATGAAACTGTAAATGTATTAATGTGAATGTTAGGTAGGGGACACATCATTATCCATCTCCAGATGAAGTTTTTGGAATGACTCAGTGTCATCTAAATTTAATAAAGATATTGGAATATCTTAAGTACATGTTAAATTTTTGCAAATTGTTATTTTTACAATATACAAGTAGTCAATGTACATTTTTAGATAATTCCGAATTATATGGGCTATTTTCTACAAATTTTGTGTCTTTCCTGCTTATTCTTAATTTCAGGATTACATTCAATGGTGTAAAATTATAATTTTAATATAATTTCCATCTTCTAGTTCAATTGTTTAAGTATTAAGCTAATTTTAGATGTTCTTATCTCTTTAGTAATTTAATTATGTCTAACAGTGTGTGAGGACTACATAACTAACACACTACTTTTTCAATAAAGTTTCTAAGCAACCATTGTACATTGACTTTTTTTGAAAGTGGAGGATAGAAAATGAAGGAGCAGGGTAGTGGTATTAGACAATTTAAATAGCCCAACAGCATAAACATTCAATTTTTTTGATTACTTAAGAACCAGTTTTATAGTTGATTTAAGTTATCTTTTACTTGTGGAATGATTATTGATTATTACTTTCTGGTTTTATAAAGATTTCTTATCTTACTTCCCTTCGTTATTATATGTAAAAGGAATGGTGACAAATTGTTGGCTTAAAGATTTTGACTTGAATTTTAATGAGCTTATAAATTTTGTATTTGTTTACCATTAGCTGTGGAATCTTATCTGCGTTTTGTTTTCCCTTAAAGCTGATCTTGAATTAATTAATAAAATTATAAAAAGTCCTTTGATTCTCCCTTGTGTCATAGTCACCATTCTGATTTAGTTTTCTTTCTTTTTTTTTTTTTTCATTCTGATTTTCTGAAGAGAAGCAGATTTTGAGTGACTACTAACTGGCCTGAAGGGCACATTTAAAGGGAAACCAAAAATTCATTATGAAGTTTATATTCATTTGATTTTAGTTAGAGAGACTGGGCTCCAAAACATCTCACAGATGTTTTTCATATTAGGGCTCCACAGCCACTTTAGAATACTGTGAAATTTGGAAGCTTTGATTCAACATATTACATGAAAATGCTTTCCTCCTGCTAGAGTGAAACCTTACAGGATCTGTACCCAAGCTTCATTTTAATATGTTATGGGAATAAGAGCAGTTGTATGAAAAGTCATCGCATTTGAGCATCAAGGAACCAAAAACGACATGTTCCATATTTATGATGAATTTTTATATCCAACGGAAGTATGAATAAAATAATTTATATGAATGAAATATTTAGCTAGAAATACTTTAGTTTCTTTCTTTTTTTTTTTTTTTTTTACTAAGTGCAGGAGTTCTTAGGTTTCTCCTAAAGTCTTACAATGAAGTGTTTGTGAAAGATAAAAGTCATTACAAGTGAGAATTGTAAGCAAAATAAGGCCAAGGGTGATGTATATTATTCTTTATTTTATTCTCCAGGATAGGCAAAGAGTTGCTTCTGACATTCTGTATTTCAATGATTATAATAGACTTTGAAGCAGAATATTTTAAAAACTGCAGTATAATAGAAATGACTGTGCTTTGTTACTAATATCTTATACATTAAAAAAATAAGCATTTACAAAAAATCCATGAAAACATCCAAAGGTCAAAAAATTTAATGTGCCCCGGGAAGTGGCTAAAACCAAAAGAACCTGACGATCTGTCTTGTACTTACATAATCAGTCACATGATGTCGCTGTACACTCAGAAGGTGAAAAGGAAAAATTTTGTCTCCGAGCCCAGATTCCAACCATTGACAGAATAGGATCGACTCCATATTGACCGGAATGCTGGGTAAATTTTACTATATCTATACCTACAGGAAGGGAGATTGCTCACAAAGGTTCGCAGGTGAGCGATCCCTTAAAACCAACAGTCCCACCTCGGAGATCTTGTTAACTACAATGGTGTTTTCCTGGAGAGGAGGCCCAGGAGCCCCGCGACTGCTGCTGTCGCTTCTGCTCCTTGCAGTGGGGGAACCCGGGAGCTGCCAGGTCCACTACTCGGTCCCGGAAGAGGCCAAACACGGCACCTTCGTGGGCCGCATCGCGCAAGACCTAGGGCTGGAGCTGGCGGAGCTGGTGCCACGCCTGTTCCGGGTGGCGTCCAAAGGACACCGGGACCTTCTGGAGGTAAATCTGCAGAACGGCATTTTGTTTGTGAATTCTCGGATCGACCGGGAAGAGCTGTGCGGGCGGAGCGCGGACTGCAGCATCCACCTGGAGGTGATCGTGGACAGGCCGCTACAGGTTTTCCATGTGGAGGTGGAGGTGAAGGACATTAACGATAACCCACCGGTGTTCAGAGAAGAAGAGCAAAAGGTACTGATTTCTGAATCTGCCCCGTTGGATTCTCATTTTCCTCTAGAGGGCGCTTCCGATGCGGATATGGGTGTAAACTCTCTTCTGACCTATAGGTTAGGTCTAAATGAGTATTTTACTCTTAAAATAATAACGAAAAACGACAAAAGTATATTGCCTGAACTAGTTCTACGGAAGTCTTTGGATAGAGAGGAAACTCCAGAACTTAATATATTGCTGACCTCCCAAGATGGGGGTAAGCCCGAGCTAACAGGATCTGTTCAGATTAAAATAAGCATTTTGGATGTGAATGATAACGCTCCAGAGTTTGATAAGCCTGGCTATAAAGTAGTGCTGTTTGAAAATGTCCCAAACGGCACGAGAGTGATTCAGCTAAACGCTTCTGATCCAGACGAAGGGGTGAATAGAGAAATTTCCTATGGAATCAGACTGATTTTGCCAGTGAGTGAGAAATGCATGTTTTCAATAAATCCAGAAACAGGTGAAATCAGAATTTACGGGAAATTGGATTTCGAAGAGAATAATGAGTATGAAATTCAAGTTAACGCCATTGATAAAGGGATTCCTTCCATGGCAGGTCATTGTACAGTCCTAGTGGAAGTTCTGGATCTGAATGACAATACCCCTGAGGTAATGATCACTTCGCTGTCGCTCCCAGTGCGAGAGGATGCTCAGGTGGGCACCGTCATCGCCCTGATCAGCGTGTCCGACCGTGACTCTGGTGCCAATGGGCAGGTGACCTGCTCATTAACACCCCACGTTCCCTTCACGCTGGTGTCCACCTTCAAGAATTACTATTCGCTGGTGCTGGACAGCGCCTTGGATCGCGAGAGCGTGTC